AATAACTGAATAAATGAATAAATGAATAAATGAATAAATGAATAAATGAATAAATGAATAAATGAATAAATGAATAAATGAATAAATGAATAAATATAAATGAATGAATGAATAAATGAATTAATAAAATCAAAAATTCTGATTCAACCAAAGACAATCTGTACTCTGTATTGTTAATTTTTCCATAGAATTTCTAGGACTTTAATTTAGAGATAAAATTCAAAATTCAAATAAAAATTTCGAGTAGAGTTGTTGTGAACTGGAGTGTTTTCTGTAGATTCTGAAGTATTACCATTCTAAAAAATAATAAAATAAAAAAAATAAAATAAATAAATAAAAATTTTTCCCATTCTATCTATATCTAATTTTCCCTAAAACGTTATAACAGTCTCATTTTAGTAAAATGTTTGACATATGTTGTTAAATTTCATTAAAATCTGTAAAAATTACCTGATTACATGTTTCCAAAAAGTTAAAAGATAAACTGATGAGAGTTAAAATAGATTTCTTATTCTCAGCATGTTCTTCATCTATATCAGCCCTCTCTACCCTTCCTTCAGCATCTATATTCAAATATATTCATCTATATCAACCCTCTCTACCCTACCTTCAGAATCTATATACAAATATATTCATCTATATCAGCCCTCTCTACCCTTCCTTCAGAATCTATAAACAAATATATTCATCTATATCAACCCTCTCTACCCTTCCTTCAGAATCTATAAACAAATATATTCATCTATATCAACCCTCTCTACCCTTCCTTCAGAATCTATAAACAAATATATTCATCTATATCAACCCTCTCTACCCTTCCTTCAGAATCTATATACAAATATATTCATCTATATCAACCCTCTCTACCCTTCCTTGAACATCTATATACAAATATATTCATCTATATCAACCCTCTCTACCCTTCCTTCAGAATCTATAAACAAAATAGTCATCTATATCAACCTTCTCGACCCTTCCTTCAGCATCTATATACAAATATATTCATCTATATCAACCCTCTCTACCCTTCCTTCAGAATCTATAAACAAGTATATTCATCTATATCAACCTTCACTACCCTTCCTTCAGAATCTATAAACAAAATAGTCATCTATATCAACCTTCTCGACCCTTCCTTCAGAATCTATTTACAAATATATTCATCTATATCAACCCTCTCTACCCTTCCTTCAGAATCTATATATCAACCCTCTCTACCCTTCCTTCAGAATCTATAAACAAATATATTCATCTATATCAATCCTCTCTACCCTTCCTTCAGAATCTATAAACAAATATATTCATCTATATCAACCCTCTCTACCCTTCCTTCAGAATCTATAAACAAGTATATTCATCTATATTTATGAGCTTGACAGTAGTATGTTAGCTTCTTCTTTAGGTCCATGTAAAATAGTTTTGATGCATTATCAAGACTGTATGTTTAATCTGTAGAGTTTCTATCCTGTAAAGTGTTTAAGTCTTACAATTAACTCCATTGTTTCTGTAAGCAGAATTCCTCATGACCACAATTTTAGAATATGTGCTTAACACTTCATTAACTGAAAGACATTGGAATTACATTGAAGAAGTATTTCAATTTGTCAACAATATAACACACAAAACTGAGACAGTAAAACAACTCTGTTAGTTATGATGGTCCAATGAACATGGAACATTCAATAAAATGTTGATTTTCAAGCTACTTGTATATTGTTAAATATTTATTAAATGTCGTCTTTCTATTCCGTAGATTTATGGATCCCACCGTACCTTTCAGAAATGATTTAAGGTTTGCAGGGATGGATGAGAATTCTCCACTCTCTAGGCAACACTTTAACACATACGAGATATTGAAAATAAATTCTGAAACAAAAATCCCATTAGGTCAAAATTAAGTCTAGAAAAATTATTGGACAATTAATGAAAGTTGATCCAAGGAAGGTTATCTTCACAGAAAATAGGTTACTAAAATGAAAACAGATAAATAAAATGGTTGATTTATCTAGACATTTTATTGAAATAAGTAGCATGTTCACTATTTAAATGAAGAAAATATTTATATTTCAATTATTCTAAAGCAGGAAATAAATAATTTCACGGAAAAACTAATAACTGTAAAAATTGTTTTACTGATCCGGATCTGATTAAATATGCAGATCCAAGCATCGGGATCAAAATTTCAAAATGTTAACGAAAAATGGAAATTTTTTTGTTAAAAGACGAGTTTTATCACCGACAATAATGGTGTTGCATAAAAAAAGGAAGTTTGTCTCTGATTAAAGAAAATTGTTAAATAACCCTTGTTCTAGTTAGCAATCAAATATTCACAAACAATAGATGTTTTCCATGCGAGTTACCTAGATCATGTTCATCTATTGAACTATATTCAAGTACATGTTCCTTCAGTAACCTCTCCATTATACAGATCGTCTTCGTTTAAAGTTCAGTTAGACGTTGCAACCATACTCAACAAGTTACCCAGTACCCTTCTTGATTAAACTATAAACATGACATAATTGTTAAAACAGTTAAGAAATTAAAAACGATTCATCCCCATTCGCGAAAAAAATACTAATCCTGAAAAAAATTATGTTAGGAACTAATCTAAATATATTTTAACGCTGAACTATTCCTGCGTGGATATCGATGAATACATGTCCTTTTCTGAATCCATTTATAAATTAAAGAAAAATATTCATTTATTTGCGGTTTTAAAACTTACAAAAAGTGTAAGGGTTTGCTTTCAGATTTTAAGTTTCAGTTTTGAGTTTTAAGTCAAAACAATCAAAATGATACAAACATAGAAAATAAATCAAAATAAAACAAAACATTTCTATTAGTGAGAAAAGGTTCGAAATATAAAATCGTGAGTGGCCGAATCAACTTTATACAAAATTGACATTTAAAAATTGTGAGAACTCAAAAAAGGAAATTAAAAAATTCTATTGTTTATAAAATGTTCCTAGATCCCGTTGGAACAGAAGATAAAGAAAAATCATGAAATGTTTTTCTGTTTTATCTTCACCTACACACTCCTACAATAGACAAATTAATCATCATGTTTTATAAGATAAAAAAAAAGAGTTTCAGATATTTAAAGAGGAATTTTGAGAAAAGGTAATATTTAGATTTTTATGATTATTCAGCAATTAATAATCTTTCTTTTCTTCTCTTTAACTAATAAAAACTAACATGAATGTACGGAACTGAACACTTACCACAAATTTCAATTTTATAATCCGTATATCCTTGCCACCTTGGTTTAACGAGTTTAACAGAGTTCATAATTTGAAATTAATAAGATCCACGACATACGTTAAAAATAATTCTGGTGAAATCTGACTATTTCAAGTTGGAACAATTCACATTATGAAAGATTGCAAAAAAGTTTTATGCTGTTGTTCTGACTATCACTGTTTTTATTTTTCTAATGTTAAAATGTTAAAACCATTTCATAAGTAAAAATTGGTTCTTAAATTGAAAGTAATGCCTGTGGTGTGATTGTTTCCATAGTTTGTTTGTTTACCAATTTCTAATGAATTTGCTTGTTTTTCAAGTTGTTACTACATTTATATTATACAGCCTGTTGAATGAAGGGATTTAGTATTAAACGGAATGGTTCTTATGCTTCGCGTATTAACGAGAGGGATTGAGTTGTACCTGGATTTGTACTGAAGTAGGGCATCTATATATAAATTTGGCTTGTCTGTCTGTTTGTCTGTCTGTTTGTTTGTATCCAATAAACGTCAAAACGGCTGAACCGATCGGGCCCAAACTTTTTGTGGGACATCTAGGGACCCCAGGGAAGGTTTATGAAAAATCAAAATTTCAAATATTTGTCTCCATCAAAATTCGATCTTCATTAAATTTTGGAAAATTTTGAAAATCCACGAAATTTTTTGTGAAAATCCCCGAATTATTTTTTGTTTTGTTTTACGATGTACACAAAGAGAACATGTTCACAATTAATTTAGAAGATGGGCGCGAAGCGCCCTCTAAGGCTAGTTTAGTACATTTATAGGGTTTATAAGTATTACTTAATGGCGAGTGTTCAGTTACTTATGTTAGGTATTAAGAAACAAAAACATCTTCCATGATAATTTTCTTGAAAGAAAAACTTACCTTCATTCCCTCCAGAGCACATTGTAAAAACTGTTCGCCTAGAAATTAAGTTTTGAAAAATGGTAAATGTGCGTGTGGGGGGGGGGATGAGTGAGAGAGAGTAAGAGAAAACGAAAAGGATCACGGTAAGAAATAATAAAATTAATAGAACCTAAAGGAAAAATGATGCCGATATTTTTTAAAAAATACATTTTACATTTTTTTCAACATTTCCATAACATCCATAAAAGCTCAGGAACTTGGGTACTTAGGTTCTATAGACATAAATTCTAAATCTGCAAAGATGTCTCGGAACTAATGTCCCCTATATATAACTAGAGTAAAATATTTTTTAAATTATCATAACATTGAACACAAATATGGAGAGATCTATAACCTGTGTAGTGATGAGAGACCTTCCTCCGATCTTCATGGAAATCCCAGAGTTCGGATAGAATGGATAAAAAACGAGCACAGTTTTGTAATACTGACAAAATATTCAAATATCAGAAAAACACTTAAGATAAACCTTTTAATGGACTTTCGTAATTTCAAGTGATCTACTTTTGGGAAAAAGCATGTCTGTCGGTCCGAATGATATCGGTACCCTTTAAACCTTAATCTGATAAATAATGTCAAAGATGTCGTTTTTCTAAAAGTGTTTAATTTTAACAATTTTCTCCATTGTTTCTAAAGCAGAAATCTAAAAGAACGTCACTTTGAGGAGATTTTGAACGAAGAATTTTCAAGTATCCCCCCCCCCCCTCTGCCATATACATTATACAATTCACAAGGTTTGAAACACGAGGTTTTTACTTTCTAATGATTTGAACTTGAAAAAAAAGATAATACTTAAAATATTTTCCTGTTTTATTTGTACAGCTTCCCATCACCATTCCTGGATTCAAAAATTTAAATATACATTATATTTTTGAATTTTAATGATTTTGAAGCCCGTTAGTGAAATTAGAATTAAGTAAAATAGGCCAACATGCATTCAAATTCATTTTGGTCCAATTACTGATAATAAAACTTTTCTAACGATCATTAAAAATCCTTTAAATTGATTGATTAATGAAGGGGAAAAAAGTTAATTTGAAGGAAAATATTAAATTGGGGTTTGATAATTTACCTATATTTTGTACAACAGAATGAAGAGACAGAAAAATAAGGAATTTTTCTAGAAGACTTTTTGCAACTTCCTTCTGTGAATCCTCATTCCTACACATTAAATCATATACTGTTCATTCTCCGATTAAATAACAACTAAGAATTTTTAAACCTAGATTATAAATATTACACAATTTAACCTTGAGAATGTAAATTTTATTATCATATTAAAAAGCGGCCCATCTAGGCTATATAATGATATTTAAGGTTATTTTTAGAACATTTTTGGCTTATACAGTTAAACAAATTTTTACAGATTTTTACTCTTTTCTTTTCAAATTGTGATAAATATTTTTATGAATTGTATTAAAACTTACTTATTTATCAGATTAAACAGATTATATCCATATGAATGCAGACACCTAAAAAACAGAATAATTTAAAATATTTTTAGTGAAGAAAAATTCATTAAGTGCACAATATAAATCAACCCCCCCCCTTCCCGAAAAAATCTTCTAAATGATAATTTGAGGTCACCAATTCTTTATTAATAACTAGCTGAAGTGCCCGGCGTTACCCGTGATAAATTTTAAAATTCAAAATCCTTTTAACCTATGTCACCCCCAGGGTACCCATGGGGTTTCTGCTTGAGATTTCAGCCAATTCTGTCAAGCTGTTTGGCCAGCTATAACTAGCATATATATATATATAACAAATATACAGACATGTACATATATATGAGCGAAGAAAATTATTAAATAGATTAATACCTGAAAACTATTAGTAGTGTGGGGGAATCCTTTTCCTCGAGCAATTTCAAACAATTCTCTGCAAAAAAGTACAATTAAAATTTCCTTTGTTTTTAAATGTTTTACAATCCATTGCTTGCATTTAATAAAAAATTTGAACATCTTGGAAAATCTAATATAATGTTTAATATAAAAATGACAATTTTAAGCATCCCGTATCTAAAAAAAATAGTGTTTGCTCAATGCTTAACGATTTTCGTTTTGTTTTGGATAATATTGAAAAAAAGAGAAATATACTAGAAATCAATCTGAAAGAATTTTAAAATGTCCTGAAATCATGTTATCATTGATTATGATTAAATCTTAATCCAGATCCAATATATAAAAGAATAACAAGGGTATATATTTTTCCGAATCCCCCTCCAGCATCGAAAATGAGGATTGCAGAAGGATGGTTGAATGAGAATATCTTGACTTAGTGATGGCATCGTTTATGTGAACGAGTGAGCTTTTTGATATCAAACGAAATTGTTCGTGAACAATGGTGTCGTTCAGAAAAAAACGAACGATGGACGTACGATTGGATCGTTGAGAGAAATAAAAAATCCCTATAATTCTTAAAATGAACGAAAAAAACACAAACGAATGTTTGAATTATCTTGACTGAATTTCTTTTGTTTTTTAATGCATGAACGAATTTTCCGAAAGATTTTGAAAAATTATCTTTTTATACTGGACCAACGATTTTTAAAACAAATTTTCGAAAAAGCAAAAACTTCTTTACTTTTTTGATCAGTGAGAAAGCGTACCAAATAGCCGGAAAATTAACGATAATTTTGAAAACTAACGAAATAATTTTTTTAGCGATAGAAAACCAAAACCGACCAAAATGGGTCGTTCAGGACCGATAAACAAACGAGATAAAAAAACCGAACGTGCTCATCTCTAATAGACTACCTAAACATTTATCTGTCTCCATGATGGTTGGGAACAAGGACTCGTGGAACACCATGTTTGTCATGATACCAATAGAGATCTCCTTTACCCTACAATATTTATCATATTTCACCAGGGAAAAAAATTTATGAAATGTCGCTGAACTCCCTACCGGCGGTTTATCTGTTCTCTAGTGCTAACTGACTCAAAACTTGAACTTTGAATCGGTAATTCAGGATTTGAGCTCTTAAGAAGTAGGTAGTTCAGCGACCTCCAAATTCATTCAAATCGGTCCTGGGTTTACGATTTTATGAATAGATTGTATTGAGGCCGAGATGATGCAACACTTACCTGAGGTTAGGATTAGAGAACAGTTCAATAAAAAAGTCTAAAACTCCGTAATCCAAATAGAACTTACTGCACAAAAATTAATATTTTTATCCTGAATACTTGCCAATAATCATTTTTTTAATCGATGAGATTTAAAAACTCTGCTTTTAAATTTTTACAAAAAATATTTTGAATTATCATTTGATTCACGGCTTGAATATCTACATTTGGTAAAGATTAGTTGGGGTAAAGATTAATTTCCTGACATCTTCCTCGACAGATATATCCCATAGAGTCATCATTTTCTCCTACAACAAAACTGTTTTATTGAAAAATAATTAAGGTATAAGAAAAAGATTTGTAATATTTTTTTTTTAAATTGGCCTAGTTCAAAGAAATTTTTATTTTAAGTTAAAAGTTTAATTTTATTGTTAAAAGTTTGTATGATGAAAAACCGGACTTTTCCGAAGTATGAGACTCTGCCTAGACAGAGGATTCCTAATCAACCCAATTTCTGGACCGAGCACCGCAGCTGAGAAAAAGGGTCCACGTTGTGACTACGTTAAAAAAAATAAACTTTCTTGATAAAAATTTGTTTAGTGTTCTATTGAAAATATGCATGAGACAATCACTTTCCTTTCATATCATAAAGATCAAATTAACCTATTATAAGATCATAGTTTTCACTTTTACTTTGGGATGAATTGTAAAAACAAGAACCTCAATGGTATCATCTAGCTCTCTTGGTCCGTCCTCAGTAATATACGAGGTTGTCTGGAAATGTCGTCCAACCGCTAAAATGTTCTCTATCACCCATCTAAAGATTAGAATCGTAAATAAGATTTTAAGGTGAACATTATATTTTACGCAGAAATTTTAAGTTCTTGTTCTTTAAGTTTAAACTATGCATTAAAAAACGATCAACAATTGAAAAGGTTCCAACCTTTTTATGCTTAACCCCCTCCCCCCATAGCTCGTTTGTACCTTTTGTCGTACATAGTAGACCCGACCGCTGCATCTCTTGCCAGCTCTTCCAATCTGGAAAATACAGATCTTAAAAACAATATTTTATCTGTGAGAAGTTATATTCAGAATTACATTTTAATCCCTCAAGAAAACTAATTATCACTAAGTAAAGAACAGTTCTTTAAAACAATATTTCATCTGTGAGGTCTTTTATTCAGAATTCTAATCCATCTAAAACTAATTATTACTATTTATCTCTTCATTACAGGGAGGCAATAGGGTTGCCTCACGTGAATGAACAAATGTAATTTTTTATAAACTTTTAAAAACTTTTTTTTTAGATTTTCTACTAGTAAACAACTTCAACATTTGAATTTATATGATACCAATTTTGTTTAGGTTTTAAAAACTGTAAAATCTTAGCTATTTACTTTTGTAACCCATATTTTTGAGTTCAGAAATCAAATTTAATTCATGTTTTCGGAGGTGTAATTCCGCAACTTCTTGGCATCACTAGGGTTGCAATCTAGCAATGCGACCCTGGTTCAAGGTTGCAGTCTAGCATTCCGACCCTGGTTCAAGGTTGCAACAAAAATAGTAGGGATTCATAAGCTTCATAATTTTGTTTAGTTGGAAAAAGATATATTGAATGCCATTTTGAGTTTTATATTTCCCTTACTCTATTTTTCCAAAAAACTACGAAACATTAATAACTGAACAGAATAATTGGAAGAAATTACAAAACGAGAATTATTTATTAAGAAGTGAATAGTAAAAATCTACTTAAAGGGACAGTAAAGGGAAAATGAAAGGGGGTATAGGCTGAAAGCTAATCACTTTAGCTCTTGATCGCGACCCATGAAAGTTTTATCTGATGTTCCTGTCTCGAGAAACTGATATAAAACTATGTTAAAATTATACGAAAATTCATATATGTAAAATTTTGAAAGTCTGAAACTTAAATCACGTGACCAGAACTATCACCAATGGCAGAGCAGTATACTGGTCACGTGTCTCCGCCTGTATCACGTGACCACTTTACTGCACTGCCATTGGTGGAATTTCTGGTAAAGTAATACGGACGTAAAAATAATATTATGAATGAAATCTATTGAAAATAGAAATAACAAATATAAAAGTAAACCTAATTTACAATTAGCTACCTCTGGGATATCATCGTTTTCAGATTGGTTGCTTATTTGCTGAATATGATCTGTTTAAACCTACTACTTTTATACAAAATTGTATATATATTAATTTTCGTATTATTTGACACAGTTTTAAATCAATTTCTCGAGACAGGAACTTCAGATAGGCGTCTCAAGGGTCTCGATGAAAAGCTAAAGTGATTAGCTTTCAGCCTATACCCCCTTTCATTTTTCCTTTACTGTCCCTTTAAGTGTGGGAGGATAACCAGAAAAATCTCCCGTGGGAGGGGGGGGGGTGTGAATTAAAAATTGCTTGTTCATTTGTCAGATTTATGCTTGTAATTCAAGCTCTCGATAGTATTTCTACTTTCTAATAAAAATACTTTTTTAGAATTAACTTCCAAAAGAAATATATATTTACTTCTTTCACCTTTGTAGATCTGTATCTGTGTGCTTCTGTTCCATTTTTACTCTTGCATTAAATTTCTGAAACAACGGATAATGCACTTGCAATTTTCAAACAAATATATAATTTGCCGAGTTAACATGTCACAATGAGATTTACAGGGCGTAGAGAAATACGTCTAGAATTTTGGTAATTATCTTTCACAAACCAATTTTCTTTGAAACAGGAATGATAAAATTCTAAATCCGAAATTAGAATTCAGTTCAGTTAAAAAAAATCAAATAGTGCTTAACAGGTGTACATGGTGTATTTACATAAATCAAATCAAAACTACTAAATTGGATCCCAATATTATAAGTAACATTTAGCAATACCGTTTAAACAGTAGCCAATTTAAATAATATTGTATCACCAATACACATTTCTTACATAATGAAAAGGAGTGATAATAGATTTTAATGTGGAAACAATTGGAAACTTTACACCAGCGGTTCTTTTTGCGTGTTGAAAGGGGAACACGTTAACTTGAGATTAGAATGCAACTCTCGGTATAAATTTTAATGTTTGACGCAATTATGAGTGAAGAGGTAGATGTAAGTTATATTTGGTAGACTTAGAAATACGGTTATCTTGTTTGAATGATTATCAGGTTTATTTAAGGGGAAACAGGAAACTTTTTTCAACTGGTTTAATTTTCTAATTGGTGAATCCAAAATGTCAACTTTTTCCTGTTTTTAGTTTCATGAAGTTTGTAGTGGGTTGATTGGTTTCTGGTTATCATCAGATGTATTTTTATTGGTTTCCAGGAGTTTGTAAATGTAGTGGATTGACTGGTTTCCGGTTATCATCAGATGTATTTTTATAGTTTCCAGAAGTGTGTAAATGTAGTGGGTTGATTGGTTTCCGGTTATCATCAGATGTATTTTTATAGTTTCCAGAAGTGTGTAAATGTAGTGGGTTGATTGGTTTCCGGTTATCATCAGATGTATTTTTAATGGTTTCTAGATGTAAATGTAGTGGGTTGATTGGTTTCCGGTTATCATCAGATGGTATTATGATACTTCCAGGAGGCTTAATACCCATTGACTCAATTTTAAGTCCATCCTTCTCAGAAACCTTGAATAATAGTTATACAATAGATACAAATTCATGTAATTTCCTTTCATTCTACAAGAACTAAGATCCCAGTTGATTATCTTTACATTAAAACGAGACATTCATATATATGTTGCGTATTGCCGGCCAAACAATTGAACCGATTGGGCTGAAAATTCGAAATCTTTTATTATTCTTTTAAATATTTAACAACAAAAAATTTCCACGGGCAACGCCGGGCCCTTCAGCTATTACCAAATAATCAAAAAGCCTTGACATTCAAATTCACAGCATGAGCACCAGCAATAAAAAATTGTTTTTAAATCTAGGAGCCCAGTTAATTGAAAACTTTTATGATTGAATTCTCTGGATTTGGTTGGCTTAATTCAATTTGTTTTCTTGAAAATTAAAAATATTTTTGTTTTAGTTTCTTGCCAACTAATGCAAAATAAGACATTTGAAGAGAAACTCCTAAATTTTAGAGAGATGTAATTCTTTTATTCAAGCAAAAGATGGCCAAAAACAGGAACTGATAACTGGCCTCAATTTTTTTTGATCTGATAGTTCAATTTTTTTAGGATAAATAGTCAAATTTTAAAAATATATAATGTTCACATGTTGCAAAAATATAAGGATCATAAAATAAAAGTTCGTGGTAGGTAATCTGTTCCTTTTTGAAGGTAAAATAGCGAAACCTTGATCCTGGTGTCCTGAATCATCTTGATGGGATCCCGACTCAGGAGACCAACACTCAACAGCTTGATCTAGATAAACTAGATTATATGTCCGCATTAGTTAGAACTCAGATTCCACTCTAAATGAATTCAACTCGGGCAAAATTTGTGGAGAAAAACTGAAACCTTGCCGTTATAAAATTGCACAAAGCACATGTCATACTATTCCGGAAATCTCTTAACATCAGAAACGGATACAAAAAAATTGTTGGTAGGGGTGGTTAATGAGAATTCGTTTTCACAGGGAGTCAAAAAAGATTAATAGAACCCTCACCCCTTCCTTCTGTCCCGTCCTTTGGAATTAACATCTGGAATGTTTAAAGCCGTAAACATGTGAATTGTCACACCGGGAGGAATCAGAATAAAGAATCCTTTTTTCCAAATTAGATTTAAATCTTGATTATTTAAATAAGTATTAAATATACCTGATGCTCCCAAAAGAACTTCTCAATGTTCTTTTTACTCCCGTACTTTGAGGGAACCTGTAGAAGATCAAACCACCGGGGTGTACCAGGAATACAACCTAGACTAACCTGAAATGATAGAAATAGTTGTACAATTGTATTTGTTTGAGCCTTTGGCATCAGCGAATATGAATTGATTTAACTTATTGATTGATTTAAATAAAATTGATTTGATTTTCTCACCTTTATCTCGTCCGAATCAATACTAGTATTAGTAGATCCAGTATCCCGATCCTTGGATTTATCTAAAGTGGTTTCAACCCTATCATCATCAGAGGTCTCTGATAGCGTCATACCATCGAGAACATCGTTGGATCCTGTATCTCCATCTTCCACTGTTCTGGTTTCTTGATTCCTCATGTTAGAACTCGGGGAACCAAGTTCTTTAGCAACTAGTTCAAGCAGTTCCTTCTCCTGCAATCAAAATATGTTTGGAATAACAAAAAAAGTAAAAGTAATTTGCTGTTTGAACCACATCTTTTGATACCCATTTCAACATGTTTTGAAAAAATTAAAAATCTATGCAACTGCCTTGTGTTATCATTAATAAAATACGCTTGATTTTAAACCTTTAACAAACAAAAAGTTAAAATTAAGAAACTTTTAATAACAGAGATCATGAAATTTGAAGCAAAATCGCGAGATAAAAATTCTCATAAAATTGAATAAAATGACTTTTTCTGATGATATAGCTCTTTGAATTTATTAATTACTGATCGATTTTTTTTCTTTGATGAATTTTGCTTCTAGTTTGCAACGTTTTATTCCTCCCCCCTACCCCACACGAAAATACGAATTTCACATAAATCTTTAAAAAAAGCGTGTTTTCCCTTAAAAATCAAAGAACTGTTAAAGAAAATGTAAGAAATGTTTGTTTGTTTATTAAAGGGATGATGGACCTGTTTAACCCTGATAGCTGAGTATTGGTTGATTGATTGAGGAGCTTCTGGTTCCTGTTTTATCTGGGTCTGTTTAGAGGAATAATCTACACCTGAATACGGTGTGATGGTCTGACGATAAACTCCTTGCTCAGATAGTTTTCTGAAATATATAATTTAATTAGTCTTTTAAAATATATTATATCAAGATTGGTATTAAGTGTTAAATAATCACTTTTACACGGATTCAAACATACCACCAGGCGGAAACTTATTAGATAAGATAAGGATAGTTTTCGATAATTTTCGTTTTCTCCGTTTTCAAAATTTAGACCAAATATTATCTACTTGTTTATAGGAATCCTATTCAATCTGTTGGAGGAAATACATGTTGACATGCAAAGGAAATGAATAGATCTATTGAAGATAAATTCAAGGCAAAGCTTATTTTGAGGAAAGGTACGGAGCGCCCTAATTTCTAGAAAATAATCAAAACCTGCATTCTGTAGATATTTGATAATGACAGTCGAGTAATCCATTTGGAGCTTCATAATCACAGTAGGGACAGGGTAACTTCCCAAACATTAGTTCGGATGCAACTACAGGCTTAGTTTCCTAGAAAATAATTAACTAAAGGTTGGGTTTCCTAGGAAGTAATTAACACAACTTGGTTTCCTAAAAAATAATTAACATCAGCTTGGTTTCCTAGAAAATAATTAACTACAGGCTTTGCTTCCTAGAAAATAATTAACTACAGGCTTGGTTTCCTAGAAAATAATTTACTAGACCTTAGTATCCTAGAAAATTTACTGAAGGTTGGGTTTCCTTGAAATTCAATAACTTCAGTTTAGTTTCCTAGAAAATAATTTACTTCAGGTTGGGTTGGGTTACCTAGAAAAAATTTACTGAAGGTTGGGTTTCCTAGAAGTGCATTAACAACAGTTTATAGAAAATAATAACTACAGGCTTTGTAATTGACTAAAGGTTGGGTTTCCTAGGAAATAATTAACAACAGCTTCGTTTCCTAGAAAATAATTAACTACAGGCTTGGTTTTCTAGAATATAATGAACTACAGGCTAGGTTTCCTAGAAAATAATTAACTACAGGCTTGGTTTCCTAGAAAATAATTAACTACAGGCTTGGGTTTCTAAAAATAATTAACTACAGTTTTGATTTCCTACAAAATAATTAACTACAGGCTTGGTTTCCTAGAAAATACAGCTTGGTTTCCAAAAAAATAATTAACTACAGCTTGGTTTCCTAGAATACCTATTTGGTATTTATCTCTTTATTACAGGGAAACTAACAAGAGATGCTTTGGGACCCAATTAACTTCAGACTTGGTTTCAAAGAAAAAGTGCTCTGGATCTTATCCACTCAGATGCAGTTCATTATTCACTGGTAGTCGTGGAGTCCTGGGATTAGATAAATCATCACAATGGATTTTACTTCAATATTTTTGTTTTATGTGTTAGATATCTATTTCTACATTAGTTTTATATACTATTCTAAATTCATTGAAAGGCCATATAATTGATTCTTTTACTTTCAGATAGTTCGTTATTTGGCTATAGTTAATCTCAACTTTTCCGATTTTTAGGAAGAACACCTGACTTACTAGGGTTTAACACAAATTGTTTGAAAAAAACATACATTCCAAAGTTTGAAGATATTTGAGTAAGAAACCGAAGATAAAAATGGAAATGATTCATCATTGCTTCAGATACATAGGTTGCTTTAACGCATATCAAATAGCTGTATTTGATCATATATATTTCACTTAGCTTGGTTATAAATTGCTTTATTTGGATTAAGTGTTAAACTTTAACATTTTACACTCGTTTAAGCTGGTACAGTAAAAATGTTTTTAACAACACTATTTTACTTGAGTCTAGATGTTTTAATTCAACCTTTGTGCTGTTTCATATTATAACCAAAACTATAACCAAATTCCGCAATTTCATTTATATCCAAATAACGCAACTTACGAAAATAAGAAGTAATTTTGGTTAGGCTAACATTTCTACTTGCAATGATATTGGGTTGAAAGATAGGTATAATCAAATTAAGCAATTTTTAAATATAACAAAATAACGTACTTTACACTACTTTATATATTGGTTTCGCTGGTTTCGTATGTACCAGTTTTGTTATCAATACCATATCTGATAAATCTACTGAGGAAGCTTCATTGAGTTGTATTCTTTATATCTTCAGAGAAAGAAACAATGACCTTCACAATAGTTTAGAGAATTAGATGCATTGCTCCTAAAAGCCCAACCAACACGATGAACCCTCGGTAAAGCGTAACCGTTAACTGTGGGAGAAGAAGAATCAACTTTAGGTTTGGTTTCCTTACAAGCAGAATTAACTATAGGTTTAATTTACTAGAAGGAAAGAATTGTTAAGTATTATCTATTCATGTATACTTCTCTTGTCTGTTTATTTGTACCCTCTCTTCCGATGGCAATCTGGGGATTCTCTTTCAGGGGGGGGGGGTCTTTTCAGATTTTTCTTCTTATTTTTATCCAATAAACGTCGAAACAGCTTAAAACGCATCAGGCCTAATTTTTTTTTGCAGAACAAAACATAACTCTAAGTGGATTGAAATTGAAAAAAGTGCTTTATAAATTTCAAAGAAAAACTTATAAAATCCATCGATAAAGAAGAAAATCTGCGAATTTTTAGTTTAATGAAGTACGGGGAAGCAATAATGGCATGCAAGACGACAAATAAAAGCGAGGTGTCTGTAAAGCCCAGTTTCTTAGAAAGGTTTTACGTAGAGTTAACTAGCTGTAGGTTTACATTTGTTGCGCTTTTTTTCGGGTTAGAAAGTTTTTTAAAACCTGCAACAGATGTGATTAAAAACCTTTGTTCAATAATTATTATCCATCACATTGTCGAACTATCAGAAAAGTCCCTTTAACCTCTGCTACCTTGTGTTGAAGATGGTTATGATGTTTATCATTATGCTTCTTGAGTTTGAAGCTCCCAGAGAACTGCACATCACAGGGCTCACAGTAATACTTGCCTAACAATAATGTTTTTCAAAACAACTAGCTTTACATATTTTTTTAATCGGGCGATGTTTAAATGTAAAATATCTGACCCAGAAAAGCATTTTTTTATATGGCCTTTTACAAAGCCAAACGAAGAATGACTAGACCAAAAAAGAGAGGGGCTGTAAATCGTTAAAAAGTTATATTCTCTCTTGCCCCATTCTCCTTTCTAGAATGAAAATCAATCATTATAAGGAGAAAATAAAGGATTTTGTATCAATAAATATCCACAGGGGTTTAATTATTATTTCTTATTTATCATTTACCTATAATCCACAGGGGAAGGAGTATAGGAGGAGGAAGGGGGAGTATAGGATGAGGATTGCTACAGACAATACAACGTATTAAACCTGACAATAATCTAAGTATACCTTTGCAGTTAGTTTGATGAGAGTAGAATTCTTGAGCTGTGAAGTATCCATGGCAATCCAGGCACATGTTGGACACACTCTCCTCATTGTAAAGTTCAGGGCTCTCCTACAAAAAAATCTAAATATTTCGTGGCTTATTGCAGGGGTGTATATTTCTTTTTAAATCTCCCCCCCATGAAAATTGTTGTAGGGTTTTATTTGCTGAAATGAGAGGGAAAATTTATTTTACGGGGTGGGTGTAATTCTTAAAAAGAAGGCATTACATCTATGACATTTTTCAATATCTCAGCCAATAATGGTATTAACTGGTGATAATTTTGCATGTACACTAATGTCAAAGTCAGAGGTTTAAGATAAAAAATCTGAGCCCTCGAAGGTGCCAGATCCTATATCCTGACTCAGACCGGAGATATGGAAGATTTGACTTTATATCCTCCTCCTAGGTCATCAAATTAGTATACAGGCAAAATTAGAACCAGTTTTGGTTGAGATATTGAAAAATGTCTTAGATTCAACGCCTCCTTTAAACCCCTAAAATAAAATTGACAAGCCCCTGAAATTTAAATTGAAATGTAAAAAAAAGTGAATTTTCTTTTAGGAAACCTGACTTCTACTGAATTGAGAACTTGTTTTTCTGGGCTCAGGAACAGGATACTCTACTTCAAGTGCTGTAAATAAAAAATTATTTCAGTGGAATAAAATTAAATGTTCGCAAAAAAATAAAGGTCCAAATAATAGAACTGAATGCGAAATAATTACATTCATATTTCCGTATGAAGTATCTCCGTGAAATTGTAGATGCTTTTTATATTTAATCCATCCTCAAATCAAATCAAATTGAATTTTAATGAACTCTAATGACCTCTAATGACCTCCACAAGTAGAAAATATATCAACTATGGCTTTATGCATATCAAACGAAAGCTAGGAACCCAGGGAATACAGTAGCAGAAAAAATTCAGTGTTTGACCTTCTAATGACCTCTTACGACCTCTAATGACCTAAATGACCTCCAAAAATGAAAATGTTTTAACTATGGCTTNATTTTCTATTTGTGGAGGTCATTAGAGGTCATTAGAGGTCATTAGAGGTCATTAAAGTTCAATTTGATTTTATTATAGGAATTTCGAACCCTAATTAGGCGTGTACCCAAAAAATTGGAAGATTTGAACCAAAAATGAAGGCAGGGCCCCCCCCCCCTACATCAAATGTGCCAACTCCACCATCCCCTTTAGTTTTATAAATTACTAAACCTGAAATATCCTTGTCAGTTCCAACCATCTCATCATCAAGGATCTGCACTTCATCATCAGCAACGTCTTCTTCACCGTTATCAATCTCGATTACAATATCATCCTGTTCGACCTTACACTGTTTCTGAACAAGGTATGCATCCTGATTCTTTGTTACTTCGATCTTCAGTTTGCCAGTATTATCATGACGTTGTTTCTTCAGACTTTGTTCTTCTGATTCCTGATTCTTGGATCTTTTCCCAGTTTGTTTCCTTGTTATTTCCTGACATTTCTCGATATCTACACTAAACTTCTTCAGCTTTATGTTCGGGAAAGTATCGGAATTCTCCTTGATTGGTTCAACACTAATCGGACATGATGGTACAGTCTCCTTGGTGTTGATGTACGTTGTGTGGAAGCTCTTCAGTGCAGCATTGCAGGGGGATTTACCGGTAAAATGAGAAATCAAATTTCTTCCAAGAAACTTTTTCTGGCAGAACCGACAAACGTCTGGGTTTCCATCGTTAACACACTAAAATTTAATTATTAAATAATAAAACAATCTTGACTTTCCATAAAATATTCTACCTGGTGATGATAATATCTGACATTACAAAAGAACCTCTCTAAACAACCTTTGCATCTTAAGGAGATTTTCTTCTTTTTGACAACTTTCATGTCATCCTTGTGCATTTTATCCAGAACTTCTCGACAATATCCCTTCTGCAGATGCTTTGTCAAGTTGTTAGATATTGCGAATTGTTTGAAGCAAATCTTACAACGATTCTCAGCTCCAGAGTAGAAGCACTAGAACATAATTAATATTTTAACACTTTTGTTTAATCCTTAACCTTATATTAACAAGTCCTAAGAGAGGTAAATATATTTAAAACTCCAATGCTGATGTTAGAATTGTGAGGTTAACTAAACGAAATGGCAATCTAATCAATCAGTAATATGAACATTAGTTCTTACCTTGTGATGAGAAAACTTAGACAGACTCTTGAAAACCAGTTTGCATTTTAAACAGCTTGGATTTAAATTTTTCGTTAACTATTTGAGATAAAAAAGTTTGTTTTCAACTCCTGATTGTTTTGAAGAAATAAAAAAAAATCCTTTCCTTGCAGAAAAAACGCTTTAATGAGATTTAAGATGAAATTAAAATTCTTTTAGAAATTATCATTGTCTTTAAGAAATAAAAAAAAATTTAATCCTTTCCTTGCGGGGAAAACGCTTCGTTCAGATTTGGTGTTGTTAGATGACTCTTTATTCTGAGTTATATTGTCGGTATTAGATTGGTCCGGAGTATCTTCACTTAGTTCATCATTCTTGTAGGTTGAGATAAAACCCAGGAGTCCACTGGAATCAAATATGTACAAATATTATTTGGGAAATTAGGAGAGAAAATGTTATTGGTTAGGCTTCGCCGCTTTTATCTGAATGTCACTATTTTATTACCGATAAATATCTTTCTCTTCTCATAATTAATTTTAGTATTTGGGAAATTTTATTTTTACTTTTTACACCCTGTCTGCACAACTGCAAGACATTTAGAATAATATAAAAGGAATGCTATGAATAAAAATAATTCAATTGAACAAAAACGTACCCTTGATCTGTATCTGTAACTGGGATGTAGTATTCGTTGGCCTTCTTATCCGATTGTCTAGACTTTCCTCCACGCATATCATCTGAATAGTTATTATTCGAAGATCTTGATTCTTGTTTTAGGTATGAAAAGTATTTGCTTTTCATGTTATAAAGCATTATGTACATTCTCCTGAAAATCCCCCTCAGCCTTCCCTCATCACATTATTTTCCCCCACTAAAAATAGTTTTTTTGAGAATTGATAATTTTTTCCTTCAAATCTCGAGAGGACTTTCTGAAAAATATATTTACGTCACCAATTAAGAAAGACCTTGTTTTCATGCCGATAATTATACTGTAATAAAAATCTACATATATAACCGTTTATTTTGAATCCACGATAAAGAAAATAAGAATTGGCGAGGGAAGTGTTCCCTTTGTTTGACATACAAAAAGATAACACGTGTTTCATTGAATTAAGAAAAACAAAAATGAGGGTAAACACGCCACAATTCTATGCAAACTTCAGGGGTGTATATTTTCTTGAAAAAAATCATCCATTTTACATTATTTCTTTTGCCCAGATGTAAGGTATGTTAGTTACCAAGGAATCTTTGGATAAGGCTGGATAGTTCTCGTCTACAATAGTCAGGTAGATAAATGGTATAGTCAACATCCTAATAAGAAAATATATAATTATAAAATTATTATATTTATTTATATCTATCATTTTATTACTAATCTTTGTAAATATTATATTTTTACAGTGCTTAGCATCCAGATCTGAAGCGTTGGATCCGCAACATTTAGGCTTCCTGGATCCGGATCCAAAGGGCAAAATAATTTTAAAATTCTACTTATGTATAACAAAAATCCGTAAATGTTCATGACCCTGGATTTGAATCCGGATCCGTTTTTTTTTCTCCAGTGCATCCAGGCTACGGATCTGGATCTGGATCAGCATCAAAATTAAATGGATCCTAGGCATTGGTTTTAGAAAATAATTCTAAATATAAAAACCTGATTTACTGATGAGAGAACTGGAAAGCATGAATAAATCAAGAACCTTAATAAAACTATATATTTCCACCCCTTAACGAATAAAAGACTTAATTAAAATTCACCGATAGCGAACAATTTAAACAGGGACTATAAGCGTAATTTTAAATGATCATCTCAAAGAGAACAAACGACAATGTCCGATTCACAACGGTAACCTCTAAAGCTTTGTCTGATAATGAATTTTAGATCCATATTTACAATTTTAATTACAATTATTTTTAATTGTGTTTTTTTTACAAAAATGACTTGCGTACTTCTTCAGGAAAATATATGAATTAACAGAATTACGCTTTTAAACCTTGAAAAACAACTATATCTTCCACATTAATCAGATACAGGTTTTAAGAGGACCGTTGTGAATCAGGCAATGCAATAGTTGCACGGAGGGTCACTTAGTGGCAAAAAGTAGACATTTTTTACTTCAAACAAAATCAAATACAATAAAAGACCAAAAATACTTTAATTGTAAAACTAATTTTACCCTTTTTCTTTGTGAATGGTAAGTACTAAGTACATTCCATTTATTAAACTAAAGGTCGAAGAAAAGCCAGAAATTCTTTGGTAAAAAATGGAACCGCATTATTTCATTTGTTCTGATATTTTAAAGCACGGAAAACAAAGGAAAGAAATATCTGAGTAGATATGAACTATAAAGGAAACTTGTTACTTGTTAGTATTAATTGTTCCATCAGAGCAGTGAACAATTATATTATGATATGCTCCTGGAGCTACAGCTAGCAGCTGATCTAGTGTGTTAGCCAACATCTCATCATGTCCCTGCAGTACATTTTACAAATCAGGCGGTACAATAGCATAGAAACTAATATTTTTACATCGGTTAAGAGATAAAACCGTAAACATATTACTAGCATTTTTACCAGCAGAGGGCAAATTAATTGTCACTTCTTATTAGTTTGACCTTTTCAGATAATCCTCGAGAAAAAAGTTTGGGATGTGCGCGTTTTTAGAGACTAGGCTTGGTTTCAATTGTAAACATTTTCTCTTTGTTTACATTTTAAAGCTAAAACAAAAACAAACAAAATAGTTCCCGGATTTTATAAAAAAAATTCGTGGGATTATATAATTTAATTACAATCAAATTTTGTTGGAGGCAAAATTTTGGAATGTTGATCATCCATAAACCTTACCTGGGGTCACGTTATGTCCCACACAAAATTTGGGCCCAATCGGTTCAGCCGTTTTGACGTTTATGGGATACAAACGGACAGACACCCAGGCAAGGAAAGTGTATATTCAGATTAACAACGTTTTGTCCTCCGGAATTTTATTTCCTTTTGACATGATTTAACCTTTTGGATTAATAGCTTGGGAACCCAGAGTGCTCAGGTTACTCATAGTTACTCCCACCGTTTACCCGCAGTTGGTCGACTTTACCGGAAAACTGAACTTTTAAAATAAATGTCGACTCTCTCAACTTAAGAATCTCAAAACAAAGCTAAGTAAATTTCCATGGCTCTCCTGAGTTCCCAATCGAAATTTGACGCAAATCGGTCCAGAGATTATTGAGTTATGATCGGACAAACAAGCAAAAAACAATAAATGGGAAACATAAAATTAAATTCATGCGATAAAATGCACGTCTAAATCCCAACTCTGCACTTGAAAGAATGTTTATAAATTTATTTTTTATAGTGTTGTTTTCAATTGTTCATTTTCTCAAAACAAAAGTAGATAATTCTAATTATTAATAAATGATGTAAAACTAAAATAACCTTCATGGACTCCATGTTTGACATATATTTGAACTCTTCAGAACCCCATTTCAGATTTATTACAGGTTTATTTCTCTGCAGCGACCAGGTCTCCTAGATATTTACATTGTTTACAGGATTAGGACCGATAAATTCTCCACCAGCATTCCTTAGAAGAAAAAAATATTTTTAAAATGTAATTCCTTATTTTCCAAAATTTCTTTTAAGAGAAATATTTCATTATGGATCGATGATGTGCACTTACGTTTTTAAAAGTATTAAGTACTGTTGCTAATATTCTACAACATACATCAAATACGGAGTAAAAAGCATAAAATGTTAGTTTGATAATCCTTCACCTTTTGCTTTGTAGTAGTGGCGATTGGCACATTCTTGTAACCCGTCTTCTTTCCTACAAATCAATCGGTGTAAATACGATCAATAATAGATCATTTTGCTTCAGAAGNAGATGGTTGTTGAATGGTAGATTCTAAATCCATAGAGGAAGGAGTGGTTGAGGATGGACTGATAGATAAGGAAGGATACAAACTGCCAGATACTTGAGAAGGAGTTCTAACAGAAGAATATGAGCTGGTAGGAGTTGTTGAAAATAGAGAGGGTGTCGGAGTTCTTACAGAAGGTATCGGAGTTCCACCAGGTGTCAGAGTTCTACCCGAAGGTGCTGGAGTTCTATCGGAAGGTGTTGGAGTTCTACCAGAAGGTGCTGAGGTTCCACCAGAAGGTGTCAGAGTTCTACTATAAGGTGTCAGAGTTCTACCAACAGGTGATGGAGTTCCAACAGAAGGTGTTGGAGTTCTACCAGAATGAGTAGGAGATCTAAACAATGGTGTTGGAGAGAAGGATAGAAAGCGTGAATTTTCAAACAAAGATCTTGAACAAGTTCTTAATAGTAATCAATTTATTTTCAATACTGTCTTTGACCGAGAATGTAAAATGCTGGAGTGACCAGCACATAAAGAGTTCTATTGACGATTTACAATTTTACCTCATAAATTTCGTCCGTTTTCGTGCTCATTTTTGTTGAAGAAATCCGCAAATGTTAATCTTAAAGTTTAAGATATCACAGGGGTGTATATTTTCCCCTCCGCTACCTAACTTATAGGGGGAAACTTCTCATTTTCGGAGAAAATTATTTTTCTGGAAAATATACACCCTTGATTTATAAAGTAAGTAAGTAAAGTAAAGTAAGTAATAAATATATGAAGGTTTTTTAATCATCAATTACATGCTTATGGACATACTCTACGCACTTATTTGATTACTTACTATATGATTAAGTGGTATTATACAATTACATCTCTAGGATTCAACGGTACTCAATATTTACATACTTGAAGACCACGTGGTAAGGGTTGATACAAGAAACGTCGCCACAAGTAATATTCCACTGGTTGATCTTAGACTCTAACTCAGGATCACGAAACGTCTAAAAGTTCAAAAACGATCAATATAAAATATTATTTGAAGTTGGAAGTTGGAACTCACCTTGTACATAAATCTTCTAACATTTATTTTCCCGACTTTGAGTCCACCAGGTTCCATAAATATCACGCAGGGAGAGTCTTGATTCTAATTCATTCATTCATCATATATAGGGGATATATGCAGTTTTTACAATGCAACCCTATTAAAGACAAAACTCCAATTTTTCAAAAAAAAAAAGGTCAAAAAATATTCAAAAAAGATGAGCATATCAAGTTTACCATAGAATATATTGATATATTGAAAATATATACCACTAAAAATTTTACCTAAACTTTGAGAAACAAATTTCAAAGCTCTCCCAACCCATTCACCGCGGGGAAGTATTAAGCAACAGGACATAACACAATAATAATTATACATCAAAATGAATTCCTTGATTGCTAGAACTGTTTTCAACTCCTTGAAGGTATTTGATGCAATCAGACTCTTCACTATAAAACCCAGGTTCTAGAATTTGAATAAAAGTAACATCTATATATAGAAATAATCAATGGTCAATGTTCAACAATTGCAGCCAAAGTCGAAGATATGTTAACAACATTAAAGGGTTGTTAACAGCATTAAAGGGTTGTTAACAACATTAAAGGGGTGTTAACAACATTAAAGGGTTGTTGCCGAATATCTAAAAGTTTTCCTAGCTCGCGCCTAAATTTGAAGTGTACTTCTAAATGTCAACAGTTTAACGGGAAAGAGAGGGGAAGGGTGAAATTTCTTTGTGTATTCGGACCAACTTCCCTCGAATGATTGATTGATTAACGTTTATATCTATAGGCATCATAAGGGGAGCATCTTAAATATAGAATGATACAATCAAAAATAAAAAATATATTACAAGAAACAGAAATAAAAAAAAATAAACCAAAAAAAAAAATTTTATCACAGTGTTGCATATAGCCCCTGAAAAACCCAGCCATCCTTCCACAAGGCCGATTGGACTTGTCGAAGATAAGCTGGGAAAAGGGGCTGAGACGGCCGGCTTCTTTGTAGGTCAGCTCGCGTGAAGAAGTCTCTCCTCTATCCAGGCTCGAACAGGACTCTTCTTTCGTGTTCCGGTCTAATCTTGAACCTCACAAGAGTAATCTCCTGGTCAGGGAATCTATTGGAGATTTAGCTGTATGCTCTCTCAGAGATAGGTCTTTCTGCATTTTTGCGATTGTGTGTTCTTCCTCTTATCTTCCTGGCTTGGATCGTTGTTTAGATCTGAGAAGAATATGTGTTCTCGATGTTCGTGTAGAACTGTTTTCCATCCTTTGTTTCTTGCTGATCTGTCTTTGTGGTGCTTCTTAATTCTTATTCTTCTTGCTTGGGAATGTTTGAGCGTTTCACCATGCCTGATTATTGCGCATGCTTTATTGGTCTCTACGAAGTTATCTCTTCTCTTGCATAACCAATCTGCTAATACCTCCATCTTTTAGATAGTCCAAACAACCTATTGTCGGACATTCGCCCCCCCCCCTGACAGATTCAGGAAGGGGCGTAGCCCCGCCCCCTGAAATTTCGAGGCAAAAAATGTTCCCAATTTGATAAGTGTTATTGTTAACGATAAATTTAGAATTAGAAATTCGTAAGAAACTAGACTTAAGTTATAATATTGTATTAATTTTGTAAACTTTGTTTACTGTATCTCCTTTTACTGTTCCTGTGAATTTATGTAGTTGCTTTATTCTTCAATGTGCAATTTTTAATACTTCATTTATGTGTTTATGAAATGTTCCTTTTTCTGAAAAAGTGATTCCTAGTAACTTAGCATGGTTAGTGTAGTTTAGTTGTTCCTTCTTGTTTCTGTCAAGAAATAAAAGGGTTTCTTTAAGTTCTCTCCTAGTTCTTGGTTTTGCATGTATTGTTAATACATTAGTCTTCAACTTCCCTCTAAAATCAATTTTGTAAACGCATCCTTTCACATATTTACTTTAGTTCAGCACCCGACCTATCCAAGTCGCTGCAGAAATTTAATTAGATACATTAAAAAATATTAAAAATCGTCTTTAGAGAATTTCTAGAATTAGTTACCTTTTCGGTGAACTTGATCTTGGATTCGTGAATCCTGGCCGAATCCAGGCACAGTTGTACATTGTGCGTTAAATCATCCATTCCTCATCGGAAGGTTCCTGTTAATCTGGAATAGTAAGTTAAGAAATTCAGATTTGAGAAATCTATTATCTCATTAGTCACACCTCGATAGTCAACGTTAAACAATTCGAATCAAAGATAAATCCTGTGTTCTGTGAACAAACCGGTATATTCCTAGAGAACGATTTTTGGTAATGTCGTGTAGCTTAAGAGGGGTGTAAGAGTGGCTTAATAATTTCTTCTATAGTTTTAATAGTTAGAATCGCGCGTGGGAGAGATCGGAGCTAGCACAATTATTTTCCATACAATTCCTAAAACATGATTGACTATTGGAAAATTAAGTGTAAAACTTGGGGAAGAGAGCCCTTCATTGATTTTATGTATTTTTACAGTTAGATTGAAAATGTCAGAAAGCAGAAAGGGTTTGTTGGAAAATGAGATAAAGATCAAAGAGGAACCCCCGGACATAGATCCTTATCCTGGTAATTTATATCCTGTTCTATATACTTCATCATCAAATTCAAGATTTTTCAGTTATACAGAGAGTCCCATATCATATTGGAGTATCTACAAGCTTTTACACCAAAATACGCACATAATAATCTAAAATCCTAGTATGTTCTGCATACAATTTTTGAAATGCTACATTTTTTAATTTTTTGATTAGTCCCGAAAATCGCAAATTAAAGCTATAAACGATCTAATATGATGTGGGAAACACTGTATAAGTACTAAATAAAATTGAAATGTCCATTTATATCATCATATAGATTAAACATTGGAACCTAGCCTTACTGAATGTTTTAGGAGTAGAGGATATTGTAGATCTTCTGGATACCCCTTTGAAGGAGGAGCTAACTATTGACGAAGATGATTTTTCAACATTAATCCCACCTAATCCCTATGCCTCAAACCTAAGGTTAAATACGTCGTGGGTTAATTTCCTAATATATGATTTGTGGACCCCGGCCCCTTTATAATTTTTGTACACAGCATTTTAAGGCATATTTTGAGCCCAAACCCTAGCCTATTCTAGCCGAGGTGCTCGGCCTCCAAGCCTGTCCTAGGCGCAGCGCTCGGCCCAGAAAATATCTTAACGTATCTTAACCCTGAAATTTTGCTCAATAATCACAAATTATGATGAAATTAGTTTAAATCGAGGGCCGCTGATCTAACCTAACCCTGAAAGGATAATAATAAAATGAATCGCACCCATTTTCACTTTCTTACTTTCTCTTAACTGATTTATTGAGACCGATATTGTGTCTGATGGCTGGTTGTTGGTTTTGGGTTGGAATTTTTCCTAATATTCAAATCTGCTTTACAAGAGAAAGATTTAGCCCAATATTTGCGGTCCAACTGCAAGATTAAACTACTGTTTGTTTTTCAAGAATTGATTGTTTCTCTGTATTTACACCACACCTATTCCTCATTTTAGCCTTTGACACATTAGACCTTTTATCTTTTTTATTTCTTGTCAAATTTTCTATTTTTTTGCTCTAGTGATGACAGTTTCACATCTTTCTTTGACACATTAGACCTTTTATCTTTTTTTATTTCTTGTCAAATATTCTATTTTTTGCTCTAGTGATGACAGTTTCACATCTTTCTTTTCATCTAGTTCGTTTCCTGTGATCAAGGAAGAATCTGTAGAAACTCTTTTACCGACGAAATATACTACAGCACCCGTCGACCAGAATTCACCGAGCATCAATATGGAGCAAGTGTATGTAACCGTTGAAAAGAATATGCTCGTCGATGGGAAACTAGGTAATAAAACATGGAACTGGCACTGATCTCAATCCATCTATTATATTTATACTTTGCTTGTCTGTCTGTGTGTGTGTTTGTCCGTTTGTATCCAATAAACGTCGAAACGGCTGAAACGATCGGGCCCAAATTTTGTGTATGACCTCACATGCTCAAAATTAAACAAAATCGTGTCCAAAGGTTTTAATTTTTGTAAAATTTTAAAAATTAGCGAAACATTGCTATTAAATCCGCGAACATTTTCTTATTAATGTTTTATATTATACAAAGAGAAGATGCTCACAGATTGAGCTGCACATTTAAAAGCTGAATAATTCTAGATTCTAGTCAACCCTGTTTTTGGTCTCAGTCTAGACCCTAGTCAGCACTGTTTCTGGTTTCAGTCTAGATCCTAGTCAACCCTATTTCTGGTCTCAGTCTATGTCCTAGTCAACCCAGTTTCTGGTCTCAGTCTAGATCCCAGTCAAACCTGTTTCTGGTCTCAGTCTAGATCCTAGTTAACCCTATTTCTGGTCTCAATCTAGACTCTAGATCCTAGTCAATCCTGTTTCTGGACTCAGTCTAGATCCTAGTCAATCCTGTTTCTGGTCTCAGCCTAGATCCTAGTCAACTCTATTTCTGGTCTCAGTCTAGATCCTAGTCAAGCCTGTTTCTGGTCTCAGTCTAGATCCTAGTCAACCCTGTTTCTGGTCTCAGTCTAGATCCTATTCAACCTTGTTTCTGGTCTCAATCTAGATCCTAATCAACCCTGTTTCTGGTCTCAGTCTAGATCCTATTCAACCCTGTTTCTGGTCTCAGTCTAGATCCTAGTCAATCCTGTTTCTGGTCTCAGTCTTGATTCTAGTCAACGCTGTTTCTCAGTCTCAGTTTCAGTATCAGTTTCAGTCTCAGGTCCTTTAATCTTAAATATCTTGTTTACCAGGAATGTCATTGTTACGAGTAAAGAACGGGTTCCGAGTAAACTCAGTAAATGCAGTTGGAGCTGCAGCTTTAGCTGGTATATTACCTATGGTAAGATTTATCTACTTATTTATAAAATAATTTTCTTTATTATTTTTATCCATAAATTTGGTTTGTCAGCTTTTTCGTGTGATTGTATTCAATGAACTTTAAAACGGCTGAACCAATCAAGCTCAAATTTTTGTGGTAACTCAAACGACCCAGCCCATTTTGATTTTTAAAAAAAAATAAAGGAAATTCACCGTTGCAAACAGAAAAACGCTTGCAGAAAGATCAGCAATAATTGAAATAAAAAAACTAAGAATATTGTCAAAAGAACCTCTTCTATATTTATATCTCCTCATTTGGAACAGAAAAAATTATAAAGTTTTTTATTCTAGGACGTTATTGTTATGGCTGAGAAAAAGCCTGCTAGGTAAGGTTTTTTTTTCTTAAAAGTTTATTTCTAAAAATGTGTTTCAAAATATTTCTTTAAAATATCCGCTTTCCCCTTAACGTTCTTTAACAGTCAGTTTTCTACATTCAGGATTCAACATTTTTTTTACTCATTGCTTTTAATATTAAACTTCACAACATATCCACGCATTGTATTAAGATACATTTTTAAATGTTTTTTTTAATATCCCAGGAGTCTTGAGTAGAATAAAGGATCAGGACTGGCTTAAAGAATACTAAGAATATAAAAGAAAAATTATAAAATATGCAATAATAAAATTCAAAAATAAAAAATATTAGATTGGTAGATGCATCCTTCTTCCTAAGTACGATCAGCAGAAGTGGATCTGTGAGCTTCGTTATTCAAAGAGAGGTTTGGATAGATAGTGAATAATGATACACAATATTTAACAATTATTATATTAATATTTTTTTTTTAAATTAAAGGAGACGCAAAGCATATGGGAAGTCACTGACTTGAAAGAAACCAGTTCCAGTACCGTCAAGCGACCAGTTGAGCTAGGAACTGGTTCCAGGAGCGCTAAACGAACAGCTGAGCTAGGAACTGGTTCTAGGAGTGCTAAACGAAAACGGGTAGACCTAGGCCTGGTATCAGAGGAATACCCTAAGCTGCTGTTGGAATGCAAAGTTGATATCAGGTTCATAATGAAATAAAAGAAAGGTGTTTTTATGCCTGTCTTAACAGTTAACATTCAATCCCTTTGAAAGTCTGACCCTCAAAATAGTCATCTAATTTTGTCTAGAATTGCACTAATTTTCTTTTAATTCTTAAAGATCACATGAGGAATATTGTAGAAGGTCCTTGGGTGCCAAGTTTGTCAATATTTTGATTGATGAAACCAATGAAGGAAAGAAGGATGAAGGTAGAAAGCAGAGAGAAAGGAAACAAAAAATCGTTCTTCGTGAAACTATTTCTGAAGATGATGAGACTGCGGAAGATGAGGAAAAGGAGATTATGATAAAGAAAAAACCGACTGGAAAATCTAAACCAGGATCGATGAAGAACAAAATATTGAAAAATATGCGGAATGGAAGAAAATTTAAACCATCGGTAACTAAGCACTTAAGAATTTTAAAGTCTTTTTAAGACGTTCTCAAATAGATCCCTTTTATAATTCAATTTTTTTCTTGATTTTGTGTTTATCGCATCTAGAATTCATTATTTTCAATTTTGGTTTCTTTACAATTATGATTTGTGCATTTCTGCTGCAAGAAACAGTGGTAAATGAAATTAATACGCTAAAAAAATTTAGTTATTTTATTTTTGTTCAGAAACCTTCTGGTAGCTCTACTGGTCCTAGATGTAATATTTGTAAGAAAACTTTTAAAAGTTTCCTCGTTCTTTCGTATCACAAGATTAGGTAAGGCCTTAAAATAGGATTAAATCCACTTGTTTTCTTTTTACCTTACAGCTGGAAACTTTTGAGTGAACGGAAATCTATTTAGATGAGTTAAACTCTCTTTCTACTATTTCCAAAGAATGCTGGGTTTAGAAAATTTAACTTAATCAAAACCGATTTATAATACCATTATTTAGAAAAGAATGCTGTCAATATTATTTATCAAAAAGCAAACTGAAAGTAATTTTTTATATGAAATCGTTTACGCCAAAAGTGTTCGTTTAGGTGTGGGGCAGGTGCAGGTGCATTAAGTCCAAAAGTCCGAACTGATGATCAACCAAATCAAGTCTCTTCCCCAAAGATCCAGAATGTGGAAAAGGTTCCAACGGAATTCACGAAACCAGTTGATGCACCAATTCCTCAAACTCTCAAAGTTGCAGATACCAACGAAGTATTAAGCGCGGTGAAACAGCTGGAAGTTTCTCGGTCTGTCACTACGGGCATTCTCCGCCTCTCTAGACCGGTCAGCCAGGCTGTTTCTGTGGGAGGTCCCTATACCCACCCAGCACATCCTGCTAGGGGAGGAATAGGCGGCGGTTCGGACAGGAACATGTCGTATACGGTAAGCATTTGGTTTTTCTACTGTTAAATTGTCCCTCCTATTGAAATAAAGCAACTCCCGGGACTATCTATTAATCTAAGCCTACTCACAACTGGAATATTATAATCTTGGGAGGTTTCTATATTTTAGCATGAGGGGCGGGGTTCCAGAAGAATATTTAGAGGACCTAACTTATAGTGAGGAAATAAAACTGAGAGTAGAACTTTTATATTTAATTGATCCCAACTTTTGTATTATTGATCACTTTTGTAATATTAATCCCAAATTTTGTGTTGTTGATTCCAACTTTTGTAATATTGATCCCAACTTTTGTATTATGGTTTCCAACTTTTGTATTAATGATCCCAACTTTTTATTATTAATTCCAACTTCTGTAGTATTAATCCCAACTTTTGAATTATTAATCCCAACTTTTGTATTATTAACCCCAACTTTTGTATTATTAACCCCAACTTTTGTATTATTAACCCCAACTTTAGTAATATTGATTCCTTCGCGCGAAAAGTACCAAATCTGTATCTAGTTCAATATGAGATTGCGAATATTTTATTCGGCTGTTTTTCACGGATTAGAAGTTTCCCTCTTGAATACTTAGTTTAAGCTCATGGCTAAGCGCTATCTCAATATCATACAAAAATGTCGACCTCAGGTTGAATTCAAAAATTTTATCTTTTAATCTTCTCGTAATGAGAGAATGAGATCAAATCATTTCGTCTAGTTTAAATCTGTAAGTATAGAATTATAAACCAATAAAAAAATTATTTTTAGTTAAATGAGAAAATAAAAATCAGACAAGCGCAAACGATTTCATCTCTCAGGAACACTTTCTTGAATTTTTTATTCACAAAATAATTTATAGTAAAGCTAGAAATTAGAATTTAGAAAGTAATAGTAAAATCCAATTTAATTATTTCTCTAAAGTTAAAGAAAATAAGGGGGGAAGGGGGGATTATTAAAATACAAGAAATAACATACAGGGAGAAAATCGACAAAATGAAGGTAAACTAGTTTTTAGAAACTTAAAATTTAACATTCTTTTCGTACACCAGCAGAAGTACCAACCCTTGCCTTTGCCCATAACGTTTTAATACTGCTGGTCACGGTTTAGCTATTTTCTCTCATTTAATTTTACAAAATCGTCCTACCCCGGCAAAATCTTTTCTACGACCTCACAATTTTTTGAAAAATTAACGAGTCCTTTGCAGAGATATTTTTCCTAGTATATTTTCCTTTATATATACTATATAGGCTAGTGAAGAAAGAAAGGATCTGAGTATCCAGGAATTGACAAGTGGTGTATACAAGGAACAGACCAATAATCTATACATATAAAGTTGTATTCTCTGTTTGTCTGTCTGTTTGTTTGTTTGTTTGTTTGTTTGTTTGTTTGTTTGTCCGATCATTACTCAAAAACCCTTATTTGTCTCAAATTTTGATTGTAGAACTCGGGAGAGCCTCAGGAATGTTCTTAGCTTGTTTTTGAGATTCTAAGTTGGATGGGTCGACTATAAAGCGATAAAGTAAAAAATCAACTAAGTGCGGGTAAACGCGGCGGGGTTAACTATGAGTTCCCAAGCTAGTAATTTATATAATATCTTGAAATTATAATTACATTAATGATGCACATCATAGTTCTACCTCCCCGGTATCCCCAGTGTTCCAATTTATTAGCTTCAACTTTTTTCGGTACTCCCCCCCCCCACATTAAGGAATAAAAAGGGTCATAACGTATTTAACTTGGAATGTCCTTCTCTTCTCAGATTTTTAATTTTTAATTATTTTTTTAGTTTCCATGTGATATGTCTAATCATAGAGTATTTGATAATCAAACTGACTTAATCTGAGCCTGGAACCTTTTTAAGTTAAAAGTTTGGCTTGTCAGATCTTTAAAAGTCATCAAGCTTTGTTTCTACTTGACCAATGAAAAAGGTCTTCACTTCTAATTAGTTTGGCTCGAAATTGGCTGAAAAACGTTTGGTCAAATTTCCAACTCTGGATAATTCTCTTCAAAAGTTCCCGACTAAACAAAAATCTATTATAATATTTTAAAAAAATGCCTAACATCGTTATGTATTCTTTATGGTACTTTTTTATGAAGGTTTTCTTAAAATTACGTTAGCAATCTCTTTAAGCTGAATATATATGATTTGGTTTGCTCTAGTTAAAAAAGAAGACACATACTTTAAAAGTTTATCATCAAGAGCTTCTGCTAAAGGATAGAAGTAGGAAACAGGTCATTCAACAACAGGTGAGCTTAAAACCAAAAAAAAAAGCCAATTTTGTTTACTTACAATTAAAGATTATCACGTTTATATTTTAATAAAATTATTCAGGGGGGGGGATTGGACATTAAGTTTAAAATAAAATGTATTTGCCAGAATTAAATAATGAAATGAACTGTAGATTTAAAGTTTTTTCTCTAGAAAAAGAAATGTGAGGACATTGTAATGAAATATAATGAGGTAACAGTTTTTTTAACATAAAATTTAAATTTTAATTTTTTCTACAACATCTGAATATATAAAGTTGTAATCTCTGTTCGTTTGTTTGATTATTTGTCCAATCATAACTCAGAAACGCATGGACCAACTTGCCTTAAATTTTAATTGGGTAACTTGGGAGACCTACTGGAATGTTCTTAGCTTGTTTTTGTGATTCTAAGTTAAATGGCTTCATTTTAACAAGAAAAATAGCTAAAATCGTAATTTACGACATAGGACGTGTAAACAGTGGGACTAACTATGACTCCCCTGGGTAACTCAAGGTTCCAGAGCTAGTTTAATATAATTTTATAAATAATTAAATACAGATTTTTTTAGTTAGTGAACCAGTTTTCTGTGTTCAAATCTCTTATAGGTTTACACTTCAAACCTATTTCAGGTGCTGTAGTTTTTCTTCTAATGGAGATCAATTTTATTAAGAGAAGTCATCAACACAAAAATTTAACTTTTATTGAATCAACATTTACTCAGTAGTTAGCTATTATATCTTACGGTTTTTTTAAATAAGAACATCAACGTTGTTTAAATTCAAAACAAAATCTAGGGGGAAAAAATTTCTACATAAACATGCTTATTGATGCTTAATCAATATAATAAAGTTTTCTTAATTATTCTTGTTTTGAGATTAATTTAAATCAAGAGTTTGTTCATTGAAATTTTAAAATATATTTGATTTGATTTGAGACTTTGTGATTGTACAATGTAACCTTTTAAGGTTTTTGTATTTTTATTAAGTTTCTTTAAATTAGTTTTTTAACATTTACTTTTATTATGGTTACTCTGAGAGAAAATTTATGCAAAAAAACAATCGTATTTAGTTTTATTTTTTCCCTTTTATTTTCTCTAAGAATAAACATATTGCAAAATTTGAAAAAGAGAACTGTTACAAAATACAATTTTGGCATGTTAAAAGTTCAAAGTATTTTTGTGGTATATTTTAAAAGTCTAAAAACTTCAAAAACGAACTATTACTTTGTACATACACTGTTGTTGCAGTCTTAACAAATAATATTCCAGATCGTGGACGAGCGTTGCTGCAAAAATTAGAAAAGCTTGATTCGGAAAATTCAGGTCTTAACTTAATATTGAGAATTCTACAATCTACTTTGTTTGATCCAAAATTTACACCAATGAATGTTTTAGTTTGTTAAAAAAAAATTTATTTTACTGGCCCTTTAATTATTAAGGAACAAAATAGTAATGTTAAAATCTATTTAACTTCTCAAATGAATTGTAGAAGTTTCTCTTGGCAAAACAAATAGAATTTCTAGACATTTAATCTTAAATAAATCTTATTAGTTGTACAATTTAATAACGACCAAAAATTAAATCAATTTTGAATTCCTAATGTAAAAAGATTTGGATTTCCTCCTCACAACGCCAGTAAAACTGACCTTTTTAAGATAAAATATTCAAAAAGAAAAATATTATTTAAAGTTTTTACAAAGTACATCTCCAAAGCAGATTTGCATCAATGTATATTTGATAATAATATTCCACTTGGGCGTCTTGTGAATTATCATGTTAAATGGGACACCCTGTAGCTAAAACTAAACTATTTCAGCTATTCTTCCATCCGATTACGAAGATCCCCCTGTGATAATTACAGTTCTAAATAAACCCTCTGATCCGTCCCAGAACCAACAGTGTAGCAACAAAATATCCAATCCATCTCAGAAAGAAATTATGGGAAATGAAGAGCCAAGTTGTCCTAATACTCCAATGTACGATAATGTAGAACAGCTTGAAATTCGGCCAGGTCCTAAAATTCCGATCGAACAAGATGAAAATCCTCAAGATGGAAGTACTTGTGATACTGGTAGGATTGAAAACACCGAAAAAGTAAAAAGTTCATATCCAGATACTTCAGTCAATCTAGATCTAAAATCTTCAATGGACGCAGAGGAAAGTACTGCGGGCTATATGGAAGACGACCCTAAAAACATACATACGAATTCAACAGCCAACAAAGAAAAAAATTCTTCAAACATAATAGTAAAAGAATCCATCAGCAAGGATAAGAATTCAACAGAGGATATAGAAGAGGGTTCTGCAGACATCACCGAGAAAGATTATACTTACAACATACGGAAACCAGATAACACTGAAAAAAATTGTATAGACAAGATGGATAACATTTCTGCAGACATGGACAACAATTGTACAAACAAAAGAAATGAGAAAGCCATAGACAACTGGCAAAATGATTCTATGAAAAACATAGAAATTCATAATGTTGACAAGAGTTCTTCGGACAACATTAAAAAGAATTCTTCGGACAAAAAGAACTTGGATCCTTCGTACAATAAGCAGCAGGATTATTCAAACAATAAAGAAAAGGAGTCTACAAACAATACAGAAAAGGAGTCTACAAACAATACAGAAAAGGAGTCTACAAACAATACAATACAGAAAAGGAGTCTACAAACAATACAGAAAAGGAGTCTACAAACAATAAAGAAAAGGAGTCTACAAACAATACAGAAAAGGAGTCTACAAGCAATACAGAAAAGGAGTCTACAAACAATACAGAAAAGATTTCCACAGATAAGATGGACCTGGATTTCTCAGACAACATAAATCAGAGATTTACAAGAGAAAATAATTCTACAAATAAATATGAGGAAATGTCTGTTTTCTCTGAAAAAGTATTTGAAAACTCCAAGTGTGATCCAAAGAACAGAGATGAAAGGGAGAAGCAGAAAACTGAGGCTATTGAGAATCTGCGTGAATGTATTCAGAAAACAGTAGATAACTGTCGTGCTTTGACACAGGTATAATGTAGTTTGGTTGGTTGGTTGGTTGTTAGTATTTTGTTTGTTTGGGCATTTGGATGTTCGACCATATCTCGTGAACCCCTTGACTGTTTTGCCTCAAACTTTGATTGAAGAACTCGGTTGAACCACGGGAATGTCTATAGCTTAGTTTAAAAATTCAAAGTTGAGTGGGTTAACATTTGCAGGGTAAACTTCAGACAACGCTGGGTTTCCAAGCTAATATGTTATTATTATTAATTCTTTCAGGAAAACGAGGAATTGAAGAAAATCTACCCCTCGAAGGTAAAATCTTTTATTTGTTGACAGTTCTGTAAATCTTCAACTATAGATTTAGTCTTAAAGATTTAGAATTCCAAGAATACTAACCACGTTTTAATTTTTAATTCAGAGATATTTGAAGTTGATTATTCACTATTTTAGTCTGATGAAAATCTGATAAATATTTGATATATGGAGATTATTATTTTAGGCGAGTTATCTTCAGAAGAAAAGGGAATACTTAATTGAACTTGAGGCTTTAAAACTGCACAAGGAGAAAAACAAACAGCTTAGGAATATAATCAAACAGATTTAAACTTAGAACTTGAATTTTTTATCATACTTAAAGAAAGTGTAAGCGTAATTACAAATTATCTTCCATGCTTGGAAGGTAAACCTTTAAACCTTTGGCTCAACAAGAAAGACAGAGAACTCTGTTAAAACGATTTTTTCTCTCGATTTTTTTATGTAGATTAATACGTCCGTCAAAGGTTCAAAGGGTACCGTTTTGTGAACCTGGCATGACTCTCTTTGCATGCAAGGTCACTTGAAATTACGTTTACAGTCCCTTTAACATTTTTTCATCTAATAAAATTAGATTTAATTATAGAAAACTTTTTATGTTTTATTGTATTGGTTGATTGTTTGATTTAGGGAGAGAATACAAGAACTGGAAGAGATAGTAGTTGGATTAAAAAAAGCTTTAGAAACCGAGGCCAAACAAAGGGTAAGGGGCATTATCTAATGGTTTAATATTGACAATAAACATGTATTCGACAGTTCAAAAGATAATTTAATTGAGCTGAAAACTTTAGAATGGGATATCCTTAATCCTGATCGGATAATTAATCTGGAGATTAAAAATGAGAAGAGAACAAGCAATATATAATCTCGAGATTAAGAAAAAGAATGGATTAAGCATTAAACCCGATATCCACCATTCTAAAGTTTTCAGCTCTGGATTCTTTTTAAATAAGATAACACAGAAAACTATTAAACTGAAATAGGTTATCACATTCTCTACTATAGGGCCAGGTGGATAGTTAATATCAATTCATCATGAATTTTATATAGGATAGATATGAAAACTTTTTTTTATTTTGAATTACATCCCTGAACCCTTAGACGTCTACGTAGTACGTCTGGATCTTAATCCAGAATTTTTAATAGTTGTATCGCTTCTTCAGTTGGGAAAAACTAAACAAAAATCATTTCTAGAAACCCCAGATAAAATGGTTGTACATATGTCTGGAGCTGAGTCTAAGGGAGTTTTAAAAACTTGGATTTGTGCGCCAAGGATGGATTCCAAGTTTATAAAATGTATTGTTCAGACGGAAGCCGAGAAACCTGATTATATTATCAAGCTTGAGGAGGATATTATGAGGAAATCTTTACTTCTCAAGTCACAGGTATCAAATTTCTGTATTATCATCGTAGTTAATTTTGTTATTATTATAAATATAAATATCATTACGGAAAGTTTCTATTGATACACGTTTTATTATTGTTTCAATGTTTACTCCAATGAAAGGAGGTAAATATAATGATTTTTCAAACCCGTACAAGTCATTTTTATTTAATTTTAAACTACCAGTTTATATTGATAAATCTTGTTTAAACTTTAATAACGTATCATGTTTAGATGGACATGATCCGTAAACTACGGTCTGTTATCTTAGAACTAAGTGAAAAGGAGAAACTCAACGTAAGATACTTTTTACTCATCTCAAGTTTTTTTTGAGCGATTCTCTCCCCTTAGGCCCTCTCTCCCTCGCTAACTTATAAACGAGTAACGATAACATTGTTGTGTCTGATATTTATGGCCACCCAATTTAATCCGTTCTTCAAATCTATTTGGTTTTCAAAGGGTTCTTTAATTTTTGAATATTTAAGGATTGGATGTTTTAAAAGTTTACTTAATGTTGACTCTAAACGGTTTTTCCTCTGTTCGTTTCATCTGTCAGAGTCAAAATTTATGATGAAGCCAAAGAAAAGAAAAGCTTAAAACATGTTCAATTTATTGAAATCATACTGGACTTATGAAGCGAAATGCATTAGTCCAGGCGCTGTTTGTGTGCAGTGGGGAGGTGACTTCTGTCACTGGCCTAGACCTCGATGTCTCGATCACACTAGACTTATGTCATAATCGGATATACATTAATTTCCATCCTTTGGTGGTTTTTTTTGATGGGGTCTCGGCCTTGATTTCCACGGGATGATGGTTGATCTTTTATTTATTTATTTATTTTATTGGACCCACTTGAAAGACTAAAATACTATAAAAAAAATTGAGATCAACTCCAGGCAAACCAAATTGATGATTTGTTTAGAAAGGGCATCTGGATGTTTCTGGACTCTCGCACGGTCAACTTCAGGTTTAAACAGAGTTTTTTTATATAACTTTCTGCAGGACTAACTTTTTAATTTAATTATTCGGGTGAATACGATCTGTAGGTTAAGATTCAATATTTTTTTATATGTTTTCAATATTAGAAAAATAGACAGAACGTTAAAAGATTTGTTTTAATGTTAAAATATTAAGTTATTAATATTTTGACTTTTACACCTTAGCCAGACAAAGCTTAACGCCATTAGTTTTAAGACAAAGTACGAATAGAAAAAAGAGATATAGTATTGGTTAATCTCCGGTCTAATTTGTATACAGGGGTTGATGATGATGTTATGCAATTTGCATGAGCAACTCATGAAGAGAGCAAACCCTTAAAATGCAAACTCATGAAAATATTAACTATGATTTAATCAAAGTTATAAAATAAATAAATTACAATTTTTTGCTTTTTGGTTGTTGGGGGGGTAGGTTCTGCGGATAAAATATTTAAAGGGGGCGAGCTCTATGGAAGAAAAAACTTGCAGAGATTAATTTTTATAGAGTTCGTACTGACAGAGTTTGTATTTTCGGAGTTTCTATGCCAGAAGTTGGTCATAGCGCATTCCGTACGTACTCCGTAGGCCGAGTCCAAAACTATAAATAACGGCCAAAAATTTTAGAATGTTGCATCTTATATAATGTTTTATTTCAGAATGTTGCAACTTGTATAGAAGGATTAATGTCAAGAATACGATCCTTGAACCTTCAACTGCAGAATATCGACGAGCTTGTTCTACAAACACGTCTCCAGGATTTCAAGGTACACTAGTTACATCAAGAAATTTGCCAATGAAACCCTTCCAAATTTTTTTTTTATTCTTTTAATAAATTGCCATTTCTCTTTTTTAACTTTGTACTTGAACCCCCTTTCATGTATTTCATTCAAAATATCTACTTTTGATTTTCTTTTTTAGATGATAAAGAGATTGAATGTTGAGAGTATTCATGAAGTTGGCTTAATTCATCTCCTAGTTAATCTCAGAAAGGAAGGGTTTAATCTCAGCAGGTAGATTTATCTTTGGGTTAATCTGAGGGAAAAACTTATGGTTGGATGTAGTTTAGACTTAGCGACTGAAGTCGATATCCTTCGCATAAACTTTTGATCCAACGTCTAAGATAAATCGAATGAGCGCTTAGTCACATGTTTAAGATACAATATTTTTGCCCTTTTGTTTTACCATGAAATAAAAAATAATTGTGTTTTATTTTGTAGAAGGCCTCCTGTGGTATCTGTTAGTGAAGTGTTTAAGGAGGTCCAGAAAACTATTCTTTGGAAGGATAAGATTTTCAGGTCAGTTCATTTTCGTGTCGATTCACTCAAACCTCAAACATTGCAGTGACCAATGCAAGAAAGATGAATAAAATTGTAGAGCTAAAGAGACGATTTGATTAAAACCTTTTTGCATATAATATTTTATGTTGCCTCATTGTCTGATTGAAACTTAATGGAACACCCTTTCAGGATGCTTTATAATAATTATTATAAAGATTTATTCACACACAAAGATATAAATACATATATAAATGGTGTAGTTTAAATTTGTTTAAATAAATTTTTTTTGAAAATACAGGTTTCCAAAAGAAAAGAGAAAAAATATGCAAAATTATGCACAAATAGAAAACATTGATTTTTATCACTACATAACATATTTATCATGAATGCATAAAATGTCTGAGAACCAAGATAGCAAACTTATAAAGTTCTGTTTATCAATTCCCATACCCCCACTATTTAGCTAGTTAAGCACAAAGTACTAGCTGTATCCATCATTGTACTGCTGTTGCGCCACCAGTAGCACTATTCTTCTCTACACTCTTGGAACTTAATGGAACTTAATTACATTTCAGCAACTAAAGTGCTTTTTTTGTACAATTGTAATGTACAGGTTTTACACGGAGAATTCAAAATATCGAGATGAGCAGATTAGGAAGGAAAACAAAGAGGTAAAAACGAGGATTTTTTAGGGTTTCAACTAATTTAGGGGAAAGTTTTTTACTGAAGTTTTCAAATCTCGTTTGTTAGTATTTAAATCGCAAAATCTGTTAAAATTAATATTTCATTGTTAGAATGTAAAGCTTGGGTCCCGTGTTCCTCAGTTTCTCCATGTACCCGCCACAGTTGAAGAGGAGAAGGAGGAGGAGCAGACTGAAAACCTTGTGATTGATGAGAATACTTACAACTCGGATAACAACGAAGATGGTATGTTTGACGAGGAGGATGAGGTTACTGTCCTCTACGACAAGGATCATCCATCACTGCTTAGCTGTCAGAAACTCATCAAGCATGAAATCTCTGAAATATCGGAGAGCCATTCTCCAAAGAATACAGACCCTGCTCCGAGGGTAGGAGGAGGGGTCGGAGATACTGACAAATACAAGTTTGATGATTATGATAGTTCAGACTTGCTAAACCCAAACTAGTTGGATTCATCTTGTGAAACTTTTCTTGGAGAAACATTTTTTTTCTTAAATGCCCATTTGTAAAATTGTGATATATATTGATTTTTTAAATATTCTGAAAAAAAATTTCGTTTGTCAAGTATTTGTTCTGTTGGAGCCTTGAACTTATACAATTCTAAAATGTTGGTTTATGGGTAAACAGTGATTTTTAAAAATATTTTTTATGAAAATTATATAAATGGATAAATTTTTTTTAAATCAATTTCTGTAAATTTATTTTAAGATGGAAGTGTTGAGATCAATTCAAAAGTAAAAACCACCCTTTCATGATAAAATATGTTTAATCATTTCAATATACTATTGATACCGGCAGGACAAATATAGGCTCTGGTGAGTGTACACTGTACAGAAGGGCTAATTGCTGGACTCCTACCGCTGGATTGACACTCAACTCAAACCTGAGTTAATACTGGGACTTCTATGGAAGAAGCTCAGAGGCGGCTTATGGGGGGGGGAGGTTGGATGTCACCCTCCCTGGAAAACTGGGGGATGTCCCACCCCAATGGAAGAATTAGGAGCGCTAGAAAACAGATCAAGCACATTCTAGATTTTTAAATTTGATTATTTAGAATTTATTAAAACAAATTTTCCTGCGGCCTCACTTTTTCACTCATAATGAAGATTTTAAAAAAGAAATTCAAATCTTGCCCCCACACTTTTCATCCCCCCAACTGTTCATGGTTTTGACATAAAATCGACCAAATTCCCTGTAAAAAATTCTAGGTGGGAAATGAAATCATAAGCCGCCCCTGAGTAAGGTCAAGTCTGATTTCTAATGATTAAAGGTTGACCGCAATTATTGTTACTAAACCTCCATATTATTCTACAGAGTGTCCCACATCATATTAGACCGAGAACGGGTCTAAATTATGATTTTCGTGACTAATTAGAAAATTTCATTAGAATGAATCATTTTGAAAAATAAAATAAGGCTTATATAAGAATTTTCTTGCGGAAAGTGATAAGTTTTTCGAGTATTAAGGGTTTTTTTTGGTGTTAAAGATTGGAGATAATCTAATATGATATGGGACGCTCCGTAGATGAAAATACAGTATTCGATAGAAGAATAAATCGTCGGTATCGGTATCTTCATTGGGAGAGAGAACTGAAGCTAATGTATTTTTAAAAACGTCTTCTAACCAGTGATTAGGATCCGGATTCGTTGGATTAGAAAAAAAACTTTTTTACTCTCAAAACCCAAATCCGAACTGTTGAAGAAAAGAGAGCTTATACAAAGGAATTGAGTCTTTGGAACAAAATCCAATATGTAAACCTCAATATCTTTAGAATTCGATGTTGTAAACCTTTTATATTTCAAACTCAGATTTGTTGATCTAACAGAATTTTAGTTTGAAATATCTAAGGTCTGCAACATTTGGTTCCAAAGATATAGTGATCAGAAAATCAGAGTTTGTGTCAAAGACGCAATTCCTTTCCGATTTATCAATGGTTCCAAGTTTTAGCATAAAAATAAGCAAAATCAATTTAAAGAAATATTTATGATCCGAATTCATTTTTTTTCCAGTGCGGATCCAGACTAAATATATTTGTTGTTAAAAATGTATTTTACCGCGGTCAGACACCAAGTCTAATTAATGTGATGACATTAAGGAAACCTGACACCGTCGTAAGGTACTATTGACATTTCCCCTTACCCCTTTTATTCAAGGCAACATCGAAAATAAAAACTTCAATTAGAATATTGAATGTTTGTTAAGATGCCTCGCCTCTATACTGGACCCCCGGCCTCAGCCCCACCCCTGAAATAGGAATATTTGATTTTGAATATCCATCACAATTACATATTTGTATACTGGTGGAGCAAGGGTGGAGCCACAAATAACTTAAACTAATCTTAAATATACACAAACCCAGGCAAATATGCCTATATAGATAGATCGGTAAACTGTAAATATTCATGTATCTGCCTGTATTTCGGTTTTATTTGTGTGAATTTTGATACAGGTATTAATTTCATTGTTTTTTTATATTTTCAGAATTCAACTTTTCCTAGCATGGGATAACGACAATATATCTTGGGTATGTCATTCTTTGAATGGATGGTCACTTGAAATCACTACATAAAATCTCTAAAGCTTCTAACACATAATAATAAAAAATTGAATATTAATAAATATTTTGAAGAAAATGTTTACGATTTTTAGATATCTCGAACCTGTGTTTTATACACAGCTATCAACAAAGGATAAGTCTGTAATGACAACTTGAAACTTTCTAAATATGACGACTCAAGGCTAGAGTAAGTTTTCCGGCCTTAAAGAGTGTCTATTTAAATACAATTTTTTTCTTCTAAAGAAAAGCTATGAATAAGACAAAATAAAGTTGAAGATCCCGATATGCTACGAAAAGTTTCCTTTCCTAAATGATATGAGCTGTCAAATAAAACTAGCGTATGTTAGAGGTTGCTAAGGCATACCAATAATTTCGTGGAAATAATAGATTGTAGACATCGAGTGACTTCCATAGAATCCCAACGGATTACACATTTTGAAAGATCACCTGTTTTTTATGCTACGGAATTTTGTTGTTATGTTTGAGATATATAGTAATTCTATCTGAACTCTACAGTCTAACAGTCTACATACTGAACATACTTATGTTACTGAATGATTTAATAGATCTAGAATAAAATATGCCTGACGTATAAGGATATTTTTAATCAGAACAGATCCAGGATATGCTTTATTATTCATTAGTTTGTTTATAACACCCCTCCTGCAACTATCTGGTCTGGTTATACATAACACCCTTTTTATATACGTGTATGTACAATGTATTTATAATCGTATTGTATAAAGAATTTGTATATTTTCCAAATTATTATATGACAATTTTCTTGAAAGATGTATGATGTTGTTATGTTATATGTTTCCTCAATATTGTCTTTATAATAGTGTGTTCTCAACAATGTGCAGTGTGCAGTGAGTGCAGAAACCACTTTGCGTCCTCAATATGCGTCCTGATTATTCCGCATTTAACTCAATTATAAGTGATTCTTCGGTAATTGCGTCCAAATAATTGCGTCTGCCTAAATGCGTTCTTATTTATTTCAGAGAATAATAAGAGGAGAGTTCCCAATTTCTAGAATTTCTATATGTTTATCATGTTTGTCTGCTTGTTTTCTTAGCAACTATTGATCGGAAGGTTTTCGGTGGGTTGTATTCAGGGAGTAAGGAATAGAAGGGAGATAGATATAACTGACGCGGTTCGCCCTACCATATGATTATACATGCTTTACAGACGAAGTACTCCATTTGAATAAGAAATATTTAAATGTCGTCATATGCACAATTACCGCGTACATGTATTCAGAAAAGGTCATTGAATACATTTGACAGGGAAAAAAGTATGCTGAACATCGCCAAATAAATTCATTTTTAAGATGCAAAATTATTAGCAATACAAACTTATTTTTTTATATTAAATAAGATTGTTTTTATTTTTTACGGTAAAGTAAAAACTACATTTCAAAAATTAAAAGACGACCTGTAAAAACTCTTTTTCAAATGGAGTACTTCGTCTGTAAAGCATGTATAATCATATGGTAGAGCGAACCGCGTCAGTTATATCTCCCTTCTATTCCTTACTCCCTGTTTGTATTACTTAGATTTATCGGGGCTGCTTGGTATATTTTCATAGAAAGGTTGATTTAAACAGTTTGGTTGTGGTTGGCTTGGTTGGTTTCAGTGTACAGGATTTGATTGTTGCAAAAAGATATTTGCACGTTTGCCAAACTCCCGTCGTTGAGGTCTCTTTATATTCTAATTATAAACTGGCAGAATGAGAATAAGTTCACATGCGGGTATATTGTATAAGGTATAGGAATGGGCACACAGTGGAGCGGAGATGATTAAAGTATGGGAAGGTGGGATAGAGTTTGTTTACATCTAAAGGGACTGTACGCGTAATTTTCTTGAACATGGCAATGCTCGAGTCACAACGGTACCCTTAAAAGCTTTTCCTGATCAAGTATGATTTAGATATCAATATTTATAATTTTGAGAACTGATTATTTTTAACTGTGGTTTTTCTACTAAAGTGACTTGCGCATTTCTTCTGCAGGAAACGTATCGGAATTATAAAAAATAAACACATATTAATCAGATAAAGGTAAAGGGTACCGTTGTGAATCGAGGATTTCCAACTTGAAATTACAGCTTCCTCTAGCTGTCTGAAAGTTGGTCCGGAACTTGAAATGACTTTTTATTCACATATTTCAATGTTTTGGTCAGTTCTCAAAACTAATGAAATAAACCAAAAAACCATAATTTTAAATAGAAATTAAATCTGGACTAACCTAAAGTTCAATGCGCCCGTATTTAATTATTTATAATTTAGATCTATTCTCGCAGCAAAAACATTCTTCAATATTGCCATACATTAACACAATGCTAATTTGGGGCTGGGCCTTTATACATTAAGATTTATACATTACAATCGAACAGATCTTTTAACCGTCGGAAATATTTGATAAATATTCTGTAAACCATGAACATTAAAGTTTCCTGATACCTAACAGTCAAGAATATTCCATTGATCAACAGTTAATTAAGATATTTTGTTATCTCCCTGACAAGACAAGGGTGTCTAGCGTCTGATGGCAACCGTACTATGGTTTACAACTACATCTGTTGAGTAAAAGATGAAAAATGAGATGTATCGTTGAGATAAATTAAAACTGACAGCTCACCATCACCTCCCTATACTCCAGCCACCTTCCT